TTATTATTATTATTATCATCATCATCATTTGACCATAAATCAACACAAAAAATAAAAAAGTTTTAGTTCTTTGGACTAGTTAAAAAATTAAAACTTTCTTTTCAGTTTTTATACTAAAATTATCCAACAAACTGTTTTCCTTTTATTTGTTCCTCTTTTTTAATTTATATGAAAATACACTTAAAAACAGAAAAATGAATATCTGTCTGTTCAGGTTTATTAAAGAGTAAAAACATTTAAAGATAAAATAATTTATAATTTTATGCTTAAGATCTGAGGCAGAAAGTTTTTATTCTGATAAAAGGATTTATTTATTTATTTATTTATTCTGACTGAAATCTTTTTATTTTAGTTTTTGTTCTTCAGGCTCAGCAGCAGGAGGCGCTGCGGAGCTGCAAACAGAACTCAGTCTGCAGGTTTTACCTGTCACTTCCTGCAGCTCCACAACAAAACAGGGTCAAAGCGGACCGGGACCAAACAGAACCGGTACCAGTGAAGCCTCGGAGTCGACCCRCTTTGTTTTCGACTGAAAGTTCCGACCCTGTGAGACCTGAACCACCTGAGACCTGAGAGTCCCAGATCCTAAAGACCGGGGGCAGCAGGTACCGAGGCCCGGTTCTTACCCATCTGCAGAACCCTGGACCAGACCTCGTTTCCTTCAGGCTCTTTAGGTTCTCTCATGTGGATCAAACGTCCGACAGAACCGTCCGACAGAACCGTCCAACAGAACCGTCCAACAGAACCAGAGGAGGACGAAGACGTCAGTTTTCATGAGGTTTTTATAAAAAGTTTATCTTGTGAAACTTTTTAAACTTTTTATTTTGAAGTTTGAGTGAAGTCAGACTTGAGACCCGGTTCTGGTTCTGAACAGTCTTTATTTACAGGAGGAAACAGAACATCTACAGCTCACAGGACAATAAAAACAGACGGTAAGGTGCTTCAAACACAACGGGAATGTTCTGGAAAACGTCCACAGAGTCCAACAGAACCACAGCTCCAGTCCAGTTTTATGTACAGAGGTTCTGCAGGTCTGAAGCGGGTCAGAAGCGGGTCAGGGCGAGGACATGTGCAGCAGCTGCTCCTTGAACTGCCGGGCGTGGTGCGACAGCTCCGTGACCCGGTCCACCATGTCCTGGATGGCGCCGGTGTTGGGGTAGTTGAGGGCGGCCATCTTGGTGGCGCCCACCACGGTCTTCAGCAGGTCGCAGAGCACGTTGCTGGAGTTCATCACGCTGTTGGCCAGCTCGGGGGCGGACGCCTGGCGGGACAGCGTGTCCCCGATGAAGACCAGCTTGTGGGCGCTGAGGATGACGAACTTGCTGTGGGCCACGAAGATGCGGGGGGGCTGGCCGGCCCCCACGCAGCCGAAGAAGGCGTCCACGGCGCTGAGGAGCGTGACGAAGTGCTGCTCGCACTGCGCCGAGTAGAAGACCAGCAGCTGGCGGTCCCGGGCGCTCACGTGGGCGGAGGACGGGTCYGACGGCGGGGCGCTGATCCACTGCGTGGCGTCGTTCTCCACGGGTTTGATCACTTCCTGTTCCAGCTTCTTGAACTGGTTTATCTGTGGGCGGAGTCAGGAAACAGAAACAAGTGAGCAGCGGGTGGAAGAGAGTCCAGAGAGGTGGAGGAACCAGAGCACCAGAGGCGCCCACGGTTCTGATAAATCACTTATAGTGGAACTAGCTTCTTTTTTAGCCACTTAGCTTCTATGCTAACTGTTAGCGGACCGATTTAGTTCCACTAAATTTAGGTACAAAATTCACAAGTGTAAAACTTTTTATTTTATATCATTTATATCGAATGAAATAAAAACTATTCATTAARGCAGTGCATCTGTAGCATATAGCARCTTAGCAGCTAAACTTCAAATTAAGAGCATCAAAAACAAAAGACTTTTAACAATATTTAAATGAATGCAACATTTGACTAAAATATGTAACTAAAGGTTTTTGCTATTTGTTGTTTAACTTGAAAAGATATTCATAAAAATACAAAATTCATCAAATAAATACTTTTATTCTGAAAGGGGTGAACCGGAAGTTTCTTGTCTTAGTGGTTAGAGTTAGCTTACACTTTTTAGATATGTTCAGCAGATTAGCGTCAGCAGAGCTAAGATTCTTGTTTAGCAGATTAGCTTTAGCGGAGCTAACTGTTCGGTCAGTTTTGGCCATCACTGCAGACCACCATCATAAATCTGAACCTGGTCTGGTTCTAGTCCCCAGGTCTGGGTCGGACTCACCTGTTCCTGGCCCAGCTGGACCTGGTTCTGCTTGATGATGTTTTCTTTCTCCAGCAGCTCCTTCTGCTGACGCTCAAAGTCTTCTTTCCCCTGAGAAGAGAAACGGTTCCATTGTTTTATTTTAGTTATATGTAATAACCATGTAATAACAACAACCAGGTGTTTAAATATGTAATAACAACAACCAGGTGTTTAAAGATGTAATAACAATAACCAGGTGTTTAAATATGTAATAACAACAACCAGGTGTTTAAANATGTAATAACAACAATCAGGTGTTTAAAGAGGTAATAACAACAACCAGGTGTTTAAAGATGTAATAACAACAATCAGGTGTTTAAAGAGGTAATAACAACAACCAGGTGTTTAAATATGTAATAACAACAACCAGGTGTTTAAAGAGGTAATAACAACAGGTGTTGTAACTTCCTGTTTACCTGCAGATGGACGTAGTCGTAGTCTTCCATCCAGCTCTTCACGCACTTCTCGCTGTTGTTCATGTTGTCTTTGTCCGGACTGGTCGGACTGGTGGACCCGGTGGACCCGGTGGACCCGGGGAAGGTCTTGGTCAGACCCCTGTAGTTGTCGTTCTCTGAAGGGGGCGTGGCCAGCGGGTGGGCCGGGTTGTCCTCGGGCGTGCTCCCGTCCGTCCTCCTGAACAGCAGSTCGGCGCTGGCGTTGATGGTGGCCGTCAGCTGCTTGGCGTCGTCGGGGACGGTTCTGGACACCATGACGAAGCGGTCCAGGTCGTCGCTCTTGTTGTGGTGCTGCCTGGACTGGGTCAGGACGTTCAGGGCCCAGCTGCAGGTCTCCAGGGCCTGGTAGGTCTGCAGGAGGATCTGCTGGGAGTCCTCCAGGCGTCCCAGCTGCCTCCTCAGCTTAGCGTGCAGACTGGAGTCCGACAGGGACGTGGCGTTGGACACCGCTCCTCTCCCGAACGCCACAAAGTCCCCGAGCGCGGTCCGGACCCGGTCCAGCACCGAGCGGACGCTGTTGGCGTTTCGCTCCATGAAAGGAAACGTCCTCCAGTGGGGGGAGGCGGCCATGGCGTGCAGCGCCGCCACCGTCAGCTCCAGCACCTGCTGCAGGCGGTGCAGCCTCTGCAGCGCCGCCTCCACGTCCAGAACCGGGCCGGAGCCCGCCGAGGACGAGGACGTGGACATGCTGCTGCGTGAGCTGCCTGTGCTGGAGATGGACAGGCGGTTCACGCCGTCCGTGGCATCCACCGTGCCCCGAGCGTCCTGAGGGGGGACGTCGTAGATCCCCTCGCTCCTGTCTGCCGAAGGGTTTCTCTGCTGGAGGGCCACGCCCCGTGGGAAGTCGTACACGTCCTGAGGGTCCGGTCCGGTCTGCAGGGCGGGGGGCGGGACGTCGTAGACCCCCTCGCTGCCACCGGGCTGGAGGCGCTGAGCGGGAGACTCGACGCCGGGGGGGACGTCATATACAGACTGGGGGCTGTGAGACGGTCTGAGGACCGGGGGCGGGACATCGTAGATCCCTTCCTGTTTCTGCCTCAGAGGCTGCGGGAAGTCGTAGGTCCCCTCCTGGGGGGTCGGGGTGGTCCTGCAGGGTGGCACCGAGTAGACCTGCGGGTGAGATCAGAGTCCATCAGACCCGGTTTCACTTTTACATCCAGGAAAGACGAAACGTTTGATTAGATTTACAGACTTCCTGTTTCAGAGTTCACTGTCTGTGACCGCAGCGTTCCTGTCAGCACAACATGAACAATAAAGTTTTATCTTATTGTAAGTTCCTGTCAGCGCAACATGAACAATAAAGTTTTATCTTATTGTAAGTTCCTGTCAGCGCAACATGAACAATAAAGTTTTATCTTATTGTAAGTTCCTGTCAGCGCAACATGAACAATAAAGTTTTATCTTACTGTAAACAACTGAAC